TAAATATATTTCTAACTAGGCCTGAAGTCTGTAGATTCTGCCAATAGCATCCATTTACACATAAAGAAATCAGACACGTGGACTTTAGGGATCTTCTTTCTTTTTCTTTTTTTTTTTTTTTAACATTTATTTATTTTTGAGACAGAGAGAGAGAGAGAGAGAGAGAGAGAGAGCATGAACAGGGGAGGGTCAGAGGAAGAGGGAGACACAGAATCCGAAACAGGCTCCAGGCTCTGAGCTGTCAGCACAGAGCCCGACGCGGGGCTCGAACCCACAGACCGCGAGATCATGACCTGAGCTGAAGTCGGACGCTCAACCGACTGAGCGCCCCAGGCACCCCAGGGATCTCCTTTCTTAACATGCTCTTAGCAGAGGAAAATAAAAGCAAGCTAAAACCCTCACAGCAGAGAAAAGGGTGGCATTGGCTTTTCCCTACCATATGCTCTTGAGGTACGTGAAGATACAAAGCCGAATTTGTGTGCTTCAGGATAGGAAGGTAAGCGATTTTGAAGTCAGTATTCTGAGTATCAGACTATTTTAGCACAAAAGGACATGAAGCGCCATAAATTAATGTCCCGTGATTCCCTTGTTCTGAGGCAAAATGACCTAGCAAACTTAGCAGTGGGGGGGTTACTGGTGGGTCCGGACCTGTGAAGGGATGCCATCGTGAACCTCATAATGTCTACAGGTAAGCCTGGCCTCTACGCCCTATATTTCTTGCTGTTTTGCCTCTCTTGCATAAATGGAAGCCCATCTGGGAAAATGCAATTGCATTTAAAAAGTCTATTTATTATTTATACTCTACCGCTTTCCATAATGGATATTAAATTAAATGTAAATGAAAGTACACACCCAAATTTCCAAACCCACGTCAAATCGTATTGTTTCCAAGCTCCCAACTGGGTTGAGGAAACCCTACAGCGTTTATGGCTCTGTGGGAGGGGGGGGGGAACGCATTTCCATGTGCTTTTCTGGTATGAATCTGTCAAATGAACCCTCGTCAAGTGGGGCACGGGAGGTGAGCCACAGTTCAACGACAGACCACAGGAGAAACTAAAATGGAGACGTTTATTATTCACAGATCTAGACAAAGCATGCCGCATACCTTGAGGGGCCATGTGGGGTGGTCAAGGGAGGGTGCAGGGAGAGAGGCAGGACTGGGGCTCATGCCTTTATTAGGGTCCACGGTAGAGCATTTGAGGGTTTCTGTGCTGAGGCTAGATCGGTCAATTCAGACTAAAAGAGTGGGCTTCTGTGGAGCCCCATGAGGGTCTTTTCTAAGGGGTGCATAAAGAGAAAGGCCTGGGAGGTGGGGGAGATGGTTTATCACGGGGGCCGTGGGGGAAGTCATCAGGAGTTCCATTTGCTTGGGACTCTGTGGCTGCTATCTAGGGCATGCCCTCGCATGAGGGGACTCTGGTCAATTTAAGATCCCCACAGGCCACGTGGCCAAAGCAAACGGCTGCAGAGACCCTAACACCACGGAGTAGCCTAAAGTCTCCGTACCCAGGGGACACATTCTTATGAGAGCAATCCGTTCTCCAGGATGCCAGTGTCAGTGTCAGGAGCTGAAAATGGGCACTGGCAGCAAATTTCGAAGTCACTTTTGCCCAGCAGATGTCTTCTGAGCAAGCCTCTTTGAGAGTCAGAGAAACAGCGTCCCGGCAGGGGGGTAACTAGCAACATCTTGGGATCTCACAAGAGGATCAGACTCTGACAGAGGATAAAGCTTTGTGGAAGTGTGTGGAACAATGTGGTATTATGGTTTAAAAAATTGTTTTTCAATGTTTACTTATATTTGAGAGAGAGAGAGAACGAGAATGAGTGGGGGAGGGGCAGAGAGAGAGGGGGACGTAGAATCCGAAGCAGGCTCCAGGCCCCGAGCTGTCAGCACAGAGCCCGACGGGGGGACTCAAACTCACAATCCATGAGATGATGACCTAAGCGGAAGTGGATGCTTAACTGACTGAGCCACCCATGCGCCCCAAGGTATCATGGTTTTTAAACAGCCGACTGGAGGGAAGAGATCCACGTGGTACAGATCAGTGAAACGTATCAAAAGCTAGGAGGAGACTGAACTCTGAGGTAGAGCGTCTGCGATGTGGCCGACAAGGCTTATGCATGAATGTTCAGGAGGCCACTGGGGCAAGTCGTTGTACGTTTGTGCATTTCCACCTAATCTCGTTTCAAAAAGTCATCAGGGAGAGAAGTCCTCACAACTCCAAAAGAGGATGAAAAAAATGGTCTGCGTCCATCTTCAGAGGAACAGCATACTAAGAATAAAATAACCGTACTGAGACTCTTATCGAGGACTTGGCCAGAGTATCTCTGCTCACGAGGGCACAAGAGCTGAGCATTACCAGGAAATGAGCCAAAATGTTGCTGTCAACCAGGCAAAGACCCGGAGTGGGAGAGTTCCCGAAGATGGAAAAATGAAACATACAAAGTGGCAGCCACAAGGGCTGGTAATTACTAAGCAATGCCTCACAGACGCTAATCAGTAAGTTTTAGGGCATTTTTCACTCCTATCTGCTGATCTCTGCTATGCCCCGCGGAGGACACAGAATCTACAGGAATTGGCCTTGGTCTACCAGACAGATGACAGAAGCTTTTGTTTTCAAGTTTTTCCAGATTTCCAGACTCTGGCAAATCTAGTGTCTTGATTCTAGAAAGTTCTTCACCTCATGGTTTGCTTTAAACAAACAACTGGAGAACACGAAGTAAACTCAAGCAGTAGTTCTATAATTTTTTTCTGCATAAACACTGTTTGCTACACTTTAGTTCTTTACTGTAGTAATCTGGATATAATTTTATAGGTCAAGTAAGTACGTAGGGCATTTTTACGTCCATCAAGTAGAAGTGCCTTGAAATTTTTTAAATGAGGCTATAAAAGATATTTGCATTTGCTTTGTTAATTTCTGCCCAAGTTTCAAAATTCCCTCTTCTTACTGCCCTTAGAATTATAAAAGATTTCACATCTCACTCAGTAGGCATTCTTGCCTCGACCCCTAGGCTCTAATATGATACTGCATTTTTTTCCCTGTAAAGTTCATTTATTTTGGGAGAGAGAATGAGAGAGAGAGAGAGAACACGTGAGTGGGGAGGGGCAGAGAGAGGGGGGACAGAGGATACGAAGCAGGCTCCAGGCTCTGAGATATCAGCACAGAGCCCAACGCGGGGGTCGAACCCATGAACCATGAGATCATGACCTGAGCGGAAGTCGGACACTTAACTGACTGAGCCACCCAGGCATCCTGATGCTGCGTTTTCTACTCATAGGGTCACACCTGGCTAAGAAACCGGGGATCCTTTTAAAAGATGTTTATTTGTCACCAAGAAGACCGACTTCTGCCTGACTGTGTATGCACACTCGGGTGAGACAGTCCTTAGTTTTCCACTGCCCTGTTCATTGCTCTGTCCTAACTCTGTTGCTGTGAAAGGAAAAGAGGCTGAAAATGCACTGCCGTTGGGTCAAAATTAGGAAAACAGGAGTCTGTCCTTTGAATAGGGCTGGATACCAGGCAGGTGGGAGAGTCTGGAGCCTTCCTTCTTCGGGTTAAATTTATGTTAAGTCTGTTGAATGAATAAATGATGCATGTTGTTTGAAAAGCGAAACCATCCTCCGAAAGAGCCACAGAAACACCACTGATGCTGAAAAGTTATTTGAACTTACCTTTGGGTTATTATAAGTCAGGTTCTAGAACAACGATCTTTACAGAGCGGTGCCTTTTCATTTCACAGAACTAACAGATTCACATGAGCCTGCACTGGTTTCTGGTAATCCTAGTTTGTTTATGCTCTGTTTCACTTGGGGATATCCAATCTTCCCTGGATGGCAGATTTCTCAAGACATCGGTGATCATACCTCCTAAGGCATGACTGAATTTGGGGACAACACGTGAGAAAAGCAAATGCTTGAATTTAATTCATTTGGTAGCAAGGTTGAAGGGAAAAAAGCACTTTAAACCCGCAGAACCTGGGCTATACTTCTCTGGACATCCATTTCTCTAGCAAGATCTAGACGCCATCACTAGTCTGGTGAGCATCACTACAACAATGGCTGGAAAAAACTTCCTGTCCCAATGTCAGGGATGCTCAGTACCTATCATTTTATTCTGCATCTTTATCTAAGAGTTCCTGTATTTGGCCCCACATGGGGTGGCTGGCCGAAGGGCCGGGCCAAGGGTCGTAATAAATAGGAGCCTCTGATGGCTCCACTCTGTACGATCACACACACTGGGGAGGCAGCAGTCACACCTTGTAAGGCGTTTCTTAGCAAAGGTCAGAGAAGCCCGCCTTGAATAAGATGCCAGGTCACTGCAAGACCCTTTCTGTCACAAATCTGGTTATTAAATAAACGCCTGCAAAGGGAGAAACAGCATGGGGGGAGGCAGAAACGCCACCTACCACTCTACGTGTCTATTTAGAATGTAAGCACCTGTCTTTCACCTGGAAGGGAAAAGGGAGGGGCAGGGCTCTTGTTAAAAGGAACCTGGGAGGCGCTTGGGTGGCCCCCTCCGTTAAGCTTTCGACTTCGGCTCAGGTCACCATCTCATGGTTCGTGGGTTTGAGCCCTGCATCCAGCTCTGTGCTGACAGCTCAGAGCCTGGAGCCTGCTTCCGATTCTGTGTCTCCCTCTCTCTCTGCCCCTCCCCTGCTCATACTCATGCTCTGTCTCTCAAAAATAAACAAATGTTAAAAAAAATTCTACTGGGGTGCCTGGGTGGCTCAGTCGGTTAAGTGTCCGACTTCGGCTCAGGTCATGATCTCCCCGTTTGTGAGTTGGAGCCCCGCGTCGGGCTCTGTGCTGACAACTCGGAACTTGGAGCCTGCTTCGGGTTCTGTGTCTCCTTTGCTCTCTGCCCCTCCCCCACTTGTCCTCTGTCTCTCTATCAAAAATAAATAAAATGTAAGAAAAAATTTATTTTTATTAAAAACAGAAGGAATCTGGGACCTTCCTCCCCATCACCACCACAAAGAGGATCTCAAGGGGGCAAGGGTCTTCACCGCAGGGGCACCACCCTGCTGTTCTACAAGGAACCAACCTATCCTTTAGAATAGGGAGAAGCCAGCTCGCGTGGCTAATATCCTCTGGCCTGTAAGGTGGCAGCAAAAACGAGCCACAGAGAACGCGGAGCCCACCTGGGTGTGTGGGTGCTCCACCCAGAGCCTTTGTCCGCTCTGCTGGTCACGCAGCAAAGTAATTCCCTGTTGTTCCCAGGAGATCACATCCCTTGTAAAGGGGGCCTGCTTGTCATCTGCTGCAGCAGTGGAACTTTCAGAAGCCCTTTGTATGTGTAAAAAAAAAAAAAAAAAAAAATGCTATTCTGGCCTGATCTGCAAGAGGCCCTTTCCCACTTCTCCTTCAGCTGTCCTCGGTCAATCTCTTTCCTAGGGGTCATGGCTTGAGATTCGCCTGACAAATCACTCCTCTGTGACGTCCTGGAGAAGAGCAAGGTGCGCGCATGTTTGGCCGCCCCCCCGCCCCCCCCCGCCCCGCGACTGATGCCCGAACAATGGGTGTCCACCTACCGGAAGGTAACATTTTCTGTTTTTGCTGGAGGACCCTAAAGCCAGATGGAGAAGGTGACAGATCTCGAGGTGCCAGCCTGCCACTCGGTACAACCTATAATTCTGTCCCTTGAGCTTGGCGCACTGAGCTGGGGGTGTCGGGGCGCTCCCGCTCACGCAGACTGTAGACACACGGATAACTAGGATAACCACCCTTCCTAGGAGGACTCAGCCCCCTCTCTACCTGGCGCTGGGGTCCCGTACTTTGAAAACACCCAACTTCGCGGCGAAAAGGAACGCGCGGCTTACCATTTCCGCTAGATGGCGCGATTTCCCCTACTCCGCCCTCGAGACACCCGAATTGTAAAATAAATACAACCCAACGCCTTCCGAAACCACATACATAATAGCAACTCGCAGGCTCCCATTAAAAATCTCAATTTGGGGGAATTGATTCTGCCCCGGAGCAAATCTAATGCAATTACATTAACAGGATGCAATCAAGAATTGCAACTGAGCGCCCCTCCCCGCCCCCCGCTCCGACACACGTCGGTCCTCCCCCTAAATACACCTGTCCCCCTGTTTCAGCTAGTTCTCCGGCGTGAGCCACGGCTCGAGCCGGGCGCGGAATCGTCTCTGTGCCCCGCCCGTCGGGCCCACCCCTCCACTTAGGAACGCCGGGGCCACTCGGAAGTCCGATCCCTTAGCACTGAACCCAAGTCCCGCACCTTCCTGCATACAGATGCTCCCAGTTCAAAGGACCGCTGGGACCCGAGCCCAGAAGGTGCAGCACCGACGCCCCCCCTCCCCCCCGGGGGCCGGCGCTTGTCCCGCGGCTCTGCAGCTGGCCTAGGCAGCCGGGCGCGGAGCTGGAGGAGGGGGACCCGGGTGAGTCGGGCCAATGGGGGTTCACGGCGGGACATCCCAGGGTGCGCGGGCCGGGCGGTGACCGCGCCGGAGAAAGGGAGCTCCCAGCCCGCGCACGGTGGAAGAGACGCTCGCCGGGTCTGTCCAAGCACGCGCGCTGCCGGCTGCCCGGGGAGAGCATTTTAGGAAAAAAGAGCAAATACTAAACCACAAAAACTTTACTGCTGCCAAGAGCTAAAGCGATCGAGGCGCAGCAAAGCTCCAACTGTGGACAAGACGGGAGCAAGAAGAGACGCGGGGCTGGAGAGGACCCGCAAGTGCCGGCGGCGCCTCGGGGATGTCAGGGCCGGGTCCGCCCCGCTCCCGGCCCGCGCTTACCTTGGCGGCTGCATGAGCCCCTGCGGCCCGCGGGGGGTGGGGGGGTGGCGCTGGCGGGGCTGCGGGCGAAGAGGGGGTTCCGGAGCGCAGCTCGCGGGCCCCGGGGCAAGGTGGGAGGGGCTCGGCAGGCGCTGGTCCCCGCCGCCCCGGCCGGCTCAGCACCGGCCCGGGGCGCGCCGCCTGCTCCCGGGCTGCATGCCTGCGAGCGCCTGGAGGAGCCGGCCCGGGAGCCAACCGCTCGCGCTTCCCCAGCCCAGCGGCTCGGGCTGCGCAGCCCGCGCTCGGGAGAGAACTGCGGAGTCGGGGCTGCTCG